TCAATTGTACCAATAATACTTTACACATTCACACTGGGACTTTACACATTCACACTGGAACTTTACACATTCACACTGGGACCTAACACTTTGCTAGGTTTATCCTAATCTTTATTAAAATACTTTCCGGGAATCAGATGTTAACTGACATCTTCATTATTCCTAATCTTCATATTGTAATCGTTCACATGCATCACTCTTCAACAGAATCAACGAGACATCATGTCAGAAAGACAAAAACTAAAATTAAGCTAAAACTATATATATTAACTTCACGTGTAAACCTTAAAATTAGCATAGCTGTAGAGTTCCCGTACGATTTCATACTCTGGCCTTTGGCCGTTGGGGTACTTATAAATTATCTCCGATCAGAAATTTGAAAGAGCTAGACCTACAATAGCGCGGACAGTGACAGATATTTTAAAGTTCTGGTTAATTTCCGATCTGTTGGGCCACTGACAGAAGTGACTGCGATGAGACCATTATGAAACGATCATTCCAAAATAAATCCATTTCAAAATACTGAAATACTTTACGGAAGCAACAAAAATGTGCTAGATGCTTACATAACATTTTTCAAATGCATACTGCTTCAAGGGAAAAGTCTTGAAAATATTTTGGAAAAAAAAGTGCTATGGCGGCAGTGCCCAGCTTGCGCGTCGCCGTCAAGCCTAAATTCAATAGACGCGAAGGCTCATTCCAAATGAATTGTTGCAAAAAATGCAATTGATAGTTCAGTATAAGTATTGACTTCAAATTCAGCTAACATATATATATATATAGTGATACCTACCTACATGAATTACCCGCCATCTTCTTTCAGCCGCCGTCTTCTTTCAGGGTCCAGCAGCACAGAGCACCCCGGCTGTTTCCGTCAAAATTTTATGCTACTCTAAATCATTCTTATTTTAGTTTCATTTTTATTTTCAACTACATATATCAGTATTTTTAATAGTTATCAACAGTATTAAACGGGAAGTAAATTTTCGAAAAAAGAAAAATAGAAAGATATACAAATGTATATGACTCCCACAATGCATCGCGCGGAAAAGAAAGTTAAGCCGCCATATTGGCATCGCCTCGCAAAATTTACCACCATAAACGTGAGTCTTTGTCATTGTATTTACAAATTTCGATGTCTGATTATCATTAATACACAACACAAAACATTTTCTTGATGTACAGGTAATGAAGAAAATGTCGATAAGGTTGTTTCATTTAATGACTAGCATCAGCAACTTGTAGGGGCGATAATCCAATGATTACGGTAATGTCCGGCAGATGGAGTAGGAGTAAACTTTCGATTTATGAACCAATGAAAACGAAGTACTGATACTCAGCCTCAGGGGCGATAGCAACATGCTGAAGAGCATTGAAAATGCTCTTAGCATAAAAACTAATACAAATTTTGCAAATATTTGGTATGGGAACTGTTAGAGTATTTCAAATACAATGGAATCATCGTTTTGTGACATCGAATACTAGTTAGATATCTATGACAACTGCTGTTTAACACATTGAGAAATCATTGTCAGGTCCATGTTTGGTCATACTGAATTACATTAGGATCCTAGTTAAGCCCCTGTTTCACAATGTATAACTGACCTAAGGGTCATAGCTGAGCCTCTGTTTGATGTGGAACTTACCTCAGGATCATGGTCAAGCCGCTGTTTGATGTGGAACTTACCTCAGGATCATAGTCAAGCCTCTGTTTGATGTGGAACTTACCTCAGTATCATAGTCAAGCCTCTGTTAAATATGCAACTTACCTCAGGATCATAGTCAAGCCTCTGTTTGATGTGGAACTTACCTCAGGATCATAGTCAAGCCTCTGTTTGATGTGGAACTTACCTCAGGATCATAGTCAAGCCTCTGTTTGATGTGGAACTTACCTCAGGATCATAGTCAAGCCCTTGTTTGATCATGTTGAACTTGCGATCCTCTCTAGGATCATTACCAATGCCAGCACTGTATAACCAGTTGCCATAGTTACTGCACACATCGTGATCAATCTAAAATAAGTTATTTTCCAATTGGTTACAGCAAGAGACTCAGAACTCACAAACAGGCAAAACAATATGAATTAAACGTTACAATGTACAACAATAAATACATAGTCAAGACATATAAAACCATCGTGGCATTGAACACACTCATAAAATCAAAGTTAATTTTGATATAAACACAACCACTTACCAGTTGTGATTCAAACCACTCTGCTCCCATCCTCCAGTCAAGTTTCAAGTCTTTAGTCAGAAAACTAGCAACATTCTGAAATGTGGAGAAAGTTAAAATCATTATACAGTTGCTTTATTGTGCATTAAAGGAATAACTGCACAAAAATTATATTCTAATAATGTTAATTCCTTGTTTGCATTGAAACCGATATAAAAATACACATTTTGTATTTCAATGAAGATATAAAATGGGCTCTAAATCAACTGCAGTATGGTGTTTCGTAATACCGTTTGGTGCTGCAATGTTCTAAGGATCTTAATTCCAGCTGATCCGCCTAACATACTTTTAATTTGAAAAGTTTCAATGGTTGTGATATCAAGCTGACACATTTATACAGACCATTGTTATGTAATTATGTGACATTCAGATTTCTCTGGACTGTTCCATCACTAACATGAGAATATAAGTCGCCATGTCATACTGACAAAACGCCATCGATAATTGGCGAGATAATGAATAAAAAATCCTGAAGACAAGAATGACTGGCACATGATACATATGATTTATACCTGTCTGCCCCTGTTCGACATGAAACCAGTGGCAGCCAGTTCCCTCATGTTGGCGTCTACAAATGGTACTCCAGTTTTTCCTTCTGTAACAGAAAGTTTAGAGATGGTGTGGTTTTATTCTGTGTAACTTTTATCAATGCCTTGATACTTCACTTCTTGGTGAAGAAAAAGAGGCGAGACTTAAAATGGATAACTTTGTTCTTTTTAAACTGCACTGTGTATCATTCATTCAATATTGAGTAATATACACTTCACCCAAACAGTTGAAATGTTTCAGACAATCTATCTGTGATTTTATGACATGGTCACAGTTGGCTAAAACTGAGACAAATATAAAATCATAGATAGATAGTTAGAATCCTTCAGACTTTATTTGAGTTTTCTCTGCTTTTCTTACTTTTTTGTTTTGTTTTTGTCATTAGCTTATTTTGTTTTCCAAAATATATCTCTTTTTACATATCCATACCAAAGAGCATTCCAACACCTAAAAAATACAGGTATAAGAGCATAGATATTGATAGCAACAAAGTAAGGTAAAATGTATACCCATCCAGGCCTTCAAAAGGTTTCGATCTCGTTTCCAAGGAATTGCCTTCTCTTGTATACCTGTATAGTAACAAATAAGAAATGAAGGACTACCAGTTCATTTTTAAAATAGCTTGAATTTTTTTGGACTTATCTACAACATTTTAATTTCTTCTTAAAGAAAAAATGATAAAATACCAAATAAGAGAAAATCGATGTTGAAAAGAAAGATTTCTATTTACAATCTCAAACCATTTATCTTCCCTGTTGACCTATGACATCATCACAGTGAACTTCCTATAGTGTAAGAGACAAATTTATCCAGAAAATACTTTCGGTATCAATTTATTTAATGCAAAGTGGTTTTGTATCATCTTGTATGATCTAAATCATCAAGAAATCATTTAAATGTCCTTGACCTTGTGATTTGTAGCCATGACCAACTCACCCCCTTCACTGAACAGTTTTTTTCCATATTTCAGTGCCACATATCTGAAGTAATCCCTCCACAGCAACTCAAAGGTCACCCAGTATGTTGACTGGTTAGCTAAACGCTCAGCCTCATATTTCTTAATCTCCCAGTAGATGTGACGTGGGGAAATACACCCATTGGCCAGCCTGATTGTATTACATCATAAGTACATATAGTTATGTAAAGGTCTGTTAAGTGTTAGATAACACAATAATATATTACTCAAGAGGTATAATTATGTACATCCCAAAAGTTTCCGGTTAGGTCTCAGCATTTATCAGTCTCTAAGAGCTATTAAGGAGCTAAGGACGTTCATAGCAGTAAATACAAATACAAATCATTGGATTATTTATCCAACTCAACTCAGGTAAAAGGACATTCAGTGGAAAGAGAGTACGGTAAAATATCTTCAGAATAAACAAACTTCCTAAATTTTGTGTATTTACAATATGGAGAACTTCTGACATCAGGGTAGAAGATTTAATTACCACAAAAATAACCTGATAGAAAACAGGTTGATAATTTATAGGCGAGAGGACTTCTAACATCAGAGTAGAAGACTTAATTACCACACAGATAACTTGGTAGAACACAGGTAGATAATTTATAGGCGAGAGGACTTCTAACATCAGAGTAGAAGACTTAATTACCACACAGATAACTTGGTAGAACACAGGTAGATAATTTATAGGCGAGAGAACTTCTGACATCAGTGTAGAAGATTTAATTACCACACAGATAACTTGGTAGAACACATGTATATAATTTATAGGCGAGAGAACTTCTGACATCAGTGGAAAAGACTTAATTACCACACAGATAACTTGGTAGAACACATGTATATAATTTATAGGCGAGAGAACTTCTGACATCAGTGGAGAAGACTTAATTACCACACAGATAACTTGGTAGAACACATGTATATAATTTATAGGCGAGAGAACTTCTGACATCAGTGTAGAAGACCTAACTACCACACAGATAACTTGGTAGAACACAGGTAGATAATTTATAGTCGAGAGAACTTCTGACATCAGTGTAGAATACTTACCACACAGATAACTTGGTAGAACACAGGTAGATAATTTATAGGCGAGAGAACTTCTGACATCAGTGTAGAATACTTACCACACAGATAACTTGGTAGAACACAGGTAGATAATTTATAGGCGAGAGAAATTCTGACATCAGTGTAGAATACTTACCACACAGAAAATTTGGTAGAACACAGGTATATAATTTATAGGCGAGAGAAATTCTGACATCAGTGTAGAATACTTACCAAACAGATAACTTGGTAGAACACAGGTATATAATTTATAGGCGAGAGAACTTCTGACATCAGTGTAGAAGACCTAACTACCACACAGATAACTTGGTAGAACACAGGTAGATAATTTATAGTCCACACAGTGTATACTTACCACACAGAAAATTTGGTAGAACACAGGTAGATAATTTATAGGCGAGAGAAATTCTGACATCAGTGTAGAATACTTACCACACAGAAAATTTGGTAGAACACAGGTATATAATTTATAGGCGAGAGAAATTCTGACATCAGTGTAGAATACTTACCACACAGAAAATTTGGTAGAACACAGGTATATAATTTATAGGCGAGAGAACTTCTGACATCAGTGTAGAAGACCTAACTACCACACAGATAACTTGGTAGAACACAGGTAGATAATTTATAGTCGAGAGAAATTCTGACATCAGTGTAGAATACTTACCACACAGATAACTTGGTAGAACACAGGTATATAATTTATAGGCGAGAGAACTTCTGACATCAGTGTAGAAGACCTAACTACCACACAGATAACTTGGTAGAACACAGGTAGATAATTTATAGTCGAGAGAAATTCTGACATCAGTGTAGAATACTTACCACACAGAAAATTTGGTAGAACACAGGTAGATAATTTATAGGCGAGAGAACTTCTGACATCAGTGTAGAATACTTACCACACAGAAAATTTGGTAGAACACAGGTAGATAATTTATAGGCGAGAGAAATTCTGACATCAGTGTAGAATACTTACCACACAGAAAATTTGGTAGAGTAGTCAGAGCCTACAAGGCCATTCCTTGTCTCTTTATAAGTAGACACACTGTCAGATTGCCACAGATAGTGATTGAGTCTGTCAAGGGCAACAGTTTCTCCTCCCTGGAATGACATCACAGAACGTGGATCCTCAGGAGCAGCTGTAAAAAATAGAAATCATCTTTATATACAATACATCACAGAACATAGGTCCACATAAACAAATGTTCCTACTGTCAGTTTGTCAATACTTTGTGCATAAAATCAAAAACATCATTCCTACTACTAGTAAATATATTTTATGTAAGAAATCGAGGATTAAAAATGCAATAATAGGACAATTTATTTGTTGAATACAGGTACTAATCTGATCATTAATTCAAAAATATTTTACTGTAATTACCCGTCAAGCCAAGGTCTGTTAACGACGGCACCTGTCCCTCCTCAACACCAGGTGGTAGGGGCTGGAGTTTGTCTGGCATAGTCAAAGACTTCCTCACTCTCGCCTGACCTTCTACATTCTTCCTGAACTGTGTGTATACATCTGGTAACCTGGATACAGTGACCACATAAATCTTCTCTATTTACTAATATCAGATTTACCTCCCCCTTACCACCACCATCAAAATGTGATGGTAAACAAATTCTACAGCAGTACTATTGTAAGTATTCATCATTATTATTGTTCTCAGCTATTTTTTTATTTTGCTTCAGTTTTTTTCAATAGGAATTCTGTTATGTTATACAATATATGTATCCTCTCTCAAATCTTCAATCCTTAATCAGCATTACTGGTGAAGTATTTGAGTTTGCCTTAATGAATTTTTTGTGATGTCGCCAATTATAAACTTTATTATATTTACAAACCATCAAAATTAAAGATACCATCCTTGGGTGACTTCATATTTATGCTGTCTTACACCTTTTTGAATACTGGAATATTTAGTTTTTCACTTACTGTTGAATCCTGAATGGGAGGTCATCTCTATGATAGAGGGGATGACCCCAAAAACTTTGAACTTTAACACCACAACTTTTCTGCAGTTTTGACTCTACTTCTAGTTCTTCAGCAGTGGCCTAATAAGAAGAAAAGAATTTGAAAATGAATTAAGTGCGTTTTCAATAAAATTTTCACTATCTCTCACCTTGCTTCTACTTTGAAAATTACCTCCACAAAATCAAGTTCGTAGGCAATATAAAAGAAAGATATAAATAGGAATTTATCTTTTTGTATTTTTTTTTAATTTTTTTTTTTTTTTTTTTTTTTAATTCTTTTCTACTTGTCAAAATTCCTAGATGCAGTATGTTATAGATATCCATAACAATGCTGAATTTTTTACCCATTTCTCAAAGTAGGGGAACCCACAGGACTTGTTGATGTTTAATACAAAACCAGTGATACAGAGACGGTCCATCGTCAAAGATGTTTTCTTTATAAACTTAAAGTGATAGCACATCTTCAAACTTCCACTAAGTACTTTTAAATAGTATACATTTCATTAAAGGTGAAGACAATACCCAGTCCAGGACTAGGTATAAAAGTGAAAAGCTCCTGCTTAGTGCTGAAAATGAGTCAGTGCTGATCTCACACAGAAACCATAAATTCTGAAATTTGCCAATGGCCATTGATTCAACTGTCACTGTTTCAATTCAAAAGAGACTTATCATGCCATGCTTTCCCTTTCTACTGAATAACACAACATATGTGTTTTAAATTCATCTACAAGGATAGCTCCTTTGAATTCATGTACAAGGATAGGGCCCTTAAATTCATATACAAGGATAGCTCCTTTGAATTTTTGTACTAAGAATAGCTCCTTTGCATTTATGTACCAAGAATAGCTCCCTTGAATTCATGTACAAGGATAGCTCTCTCGAATCTAAATCTGAACTGAGTTCAATGACTACACCTGATATAATTATAAATAGAGTGACAAGTCTTATGATACTAACCTCCTCGTGATAGCATACGAATGAAACTTGGTCCTGACCAACTGTATTGATGATCTGTGGAACAATCTCTTCTGGTTTCCCCATCCTTATCACCAAACCACTGTCAAAAAAAAAATTAACTCTTGTGACCTAAAAGGTAAAAACTTATTTACTTGATCAACATCAAATACTTTTATCCAGGAATGTTATTTAGAGGTTACATTTCAATACCATGCTGGCATTTTCTTATTTGTATTAATGGGTTTTTTTTTTCTAATTTGACACCTGTAACCTTGAAAGTCAGGATAGATATCTTTCATTTCAATATTAGCATATTATGTCTGCAATTTCTTCAATTCATGTTAAAGTTTTCTCCTTCTAAACTATTTTAATTAATTCAAATATTCCTTGTGATTTTCTTTTTCGTGTTTCATTTGTAAATTTATAAAACCCATTTTTTTTCTCCCTTTAATATACTTCAAATCTTTGAGTGGAATTCACTTTTTTGGAAAAGAGGTATTCTTCAGTAATCAGGGACATACATTCCTGCACTGATATAGATTACATCCATCCAACAATATGTAGTTTCTTTTTCGTACCTTCCCTTGCTTTTCAATGTATTTTGAAGGTCAGCAACGCTCTGCAAGAGGAACTTGGCACGATGTGCTCCAGTTTTAGGGAAATCAAAATGATATGTTCCTTGAAAATGGCGAGGATCGAAGCAATACAAAGGCAACACATATTCAGCTGTCTTGTTTGCCCAGTGTAAAACCTACAAAAGAATTTTCAAGCATTTTGTTCATGTTGTTAAGATCAAGCAGAAAGTCCATATCTAGTAATAAGCCAGCCAATGTATTTTACTTCTCAGTGGACTGACTGTACTTCTTCATTGTCATTCAATAATCAGTCTACTTCCTAACCTTAAGGCATAGGCGTGATGCTACCTGGTAAAGGTGCTACATGATTGTCATAAAGCACAATCAGTTAATAAACTGGTTACATTTCTGTGACTGTATTGACACATTCCTCTCAAAAAAGACCAGTAAAGCATTAGAAATAACTTATGTGTTATAATAAAGGAAAATTAGTCAATAAAATTCTGTAAGGCAAATTTATTAAAAATCAGGAGTTTTAAACCATGTATGATCTATATTAATTAGTCTTGTGTACAGTTGAAAACAAGAAAAGTCTTCGATTATGATCTTTTGCTTAAAGATCATCTCTTTAGCTATCTGAGATTACCTTCCATTGTATTTGAGTTCATGGTATTTCAAAAATACATTTTCTGTGAGACTTACTGATGTCACCAGAAATGGAAGTGCTATCACATGTCCGATACACATGTCGATCATTTTAGTGAACGAATTTGAGTTCGCATCTGGTGACATTTTTTAGAAAAATAGTGGTGTTTCACTCATCAGTTTTTAAAATAAATCATATAATATGAACTAATTTGAATTCATTTGTTTAGTAAAAAAAATCGTTGACATTGCGTAGCTACCGTGAAATGGTTCTTAGGAGGGCCGAAACAAATGCGCCAAGGCTATATGTTATTGTAGCGAGATGTCAATAAAAATGAAAAATTAACAGACATTTAATAAATAGAAAATTAAATAAGTTAATGATAATAACCCAATCATATTCTCTGTGCATTAGATGTTAAATTAATATTACTAATTAAAAACCATTTGTGTTTGTTATGTTTACGAAGTATCTTATGACGTAGGCTTCGATTCTCTAGATATAAAAACACTGATTCCTTCATTTTACCTCGTTATCATGTAGCCTCAGGTCATTACGAAGAAGGCAGACGATAACTTTGACTTTCGAAGACATCATCAACCTTTTGTGGCTTGGTCTCTTTCCGCTGTGCTATCGTGGAATGCGCACCCAAATTATTAGATGTTATGAAACTTATTTTCCACGTGCGGCGGTATATAATACATGCGATAGCCATCGGACTTTTACATAGTGATTTGATCATAAAAGAAAATAACAACGGTGTTCCGAAGAAATTTGTTTATGAAACAACCAAGGGAAGCTACTCTAACCTTTCTTAATGCAGTAAAGCATGGTTACCTTATTCTTCGTAAATTACGGTGTACATGTCTTATTCTTACTACCATAGAAAAAATGTTAACCAGTACTAACAATAAATTCTGAATAAGTATTCATATTTTCACTTATTTTAGCTGTTTAATGTTTTAGTCTGGGCGCAGTATTTTAAAAGCATGGACACAAATCGCTGTCGCTCAGAAGTCCGAAGTCGATACCAAGACAAAAATCGCGATACCTCGTCAGAACACTTCAGACCTATACAAAACATTAAAAAAAAGAACATAGTATCAATATATGGACATCCCAACATATTCTATTTCACATTCTAAATTGTTGTAACTATCTATCCGCGCGACATCTGATTACGTGTAAATTCTATTCTGGAGATTAAAGTTTTAAATCTAATTTTTCTTTCTATGTATTAATTGAAGAAAATTATCATTACATTAGTCAGATCACAGATTTATGATATTCCAAGTCCCTGATTACATCTAGTAATTGTATCAACATAAACAATAGTACATAATGTAAGACCATAACCTTCAAAGCTATCACATTGTTTATTTTCAAAGGTATACCTTCTCAAACCAGGGACGTATATAACATATGTATTATACGTCCCTGCTCAAACCGTTTCAAAAACAAATGCCATATCTACCTTTTTTATTTGAGACTGAAGTCCTTCTTGTCATATACGACTATATGAGAAAATACTGATTTCATATCCTCAGATTATATGTGTGGTACTTCATATTTTTTTTCTTTTGGGCCATTTTCTCGCTGAATTTGTTATTTGACCGAGAAAGTAACATGTATATGGTACTGTCTGTTTCATCAACTGTGTTATGATTTCATCTTAACTGACTATTTTCCAAGAACGACTATAAGACTATAAGATTACTGAACTAATATATAAAAGACAATACAAGGGATATGCTGGATTATTTCAGAATGTATAACCCTAGGGAATTTTATGAAAGGTTTACTAAATATAACAATAAGAGACCAAATATTTAGTTAAATAGGTTGTATGAACATTTTTTTAGATAATGCAGATAGCATTGTGAACCATACAGGTAACTCGAAACATGTGATTATTAATGAAGAGGAAGGTGATGCTATACGAGGGCCTTGAAACCAGTATAACCAAAAATGAGGTAAGACACATGGTCTACAAAGAATTCTAATTGAATTGAAAAATTTCCTGGTCCCATTTCTGACAAAAATATTCAATAATATCTTTGAATGTCCAATGTTTCTGGCCCTAATGATATCAGAGGAATTAGTTTCATTGGCTGTGTCTGGAAAATTTGCACATAAAAAAATAAATTTTACACATTAATTTGTATTTTTTATTAATCTGTAAAATTTGTAAAGTATAAATTTTACAGATTAATGTGCAAATTTAACATATTACAGTGTAAAATTTACATATTAATGTGTGTAAAACATAAAATAAAAAAGTATCCAGACTTTGATCAAGTGATAACATATCGAAAATAGAAAATAGAAAAGATATTAGATTTGAAACAATAATTGTTGCCGTCTAGGTTTATAAATTATTGTATCTTATGGTATATCGGAAGTGGGCGTTTCTTAAGTTGTAATAACTGTTGCCAGACCCTCTTGTCGTTATTTAGACAACTTGAAAATGTGGTTAAACTGAAAATAAAAAAAACACAAGAGCCGTTTCCTTTGTGTAGGATGAGCGTGAAATCACAACAAGTACATAATTTACGTGCCATTGTTTCTTGAAACAACACCACCATCCTATGGTCTAAAGATGTTGGCGTTCAAAAACACACCAACATAGGCTCCGCCTCCGGCGTAAGGAGTATGTCCATACTACGATGTTTGAGCAAGCGGAAAGGTATTAATTAGTGTGTTAATTACACTCTGACTGACAGACCTCTGTTAACATCAGAACAACTTGTCACATCTGTGAAAAGGCTGTCAGCTAGAATATATTATCTGCAAATGACAACACATACCCTAGGAGAAGCCAAAAATCGCTCTCCAAATAGGCCATTGACCAATGGACATACTTGAATGTGTTTATTAACATTGCTACAGTGTATATTTCTGACTGATGCTAAATGTTCTTAGGCATTTGAACAAACTTCTTAACCGCAGCCTGATACTATTTTACAAAGATTTTGTGATATATCAAAGTTAATTCTCCCATATGAATGCATCCCATCTCCAGCCTCTTTCCATAGACTGTAGCCTTGATTACAATTTGGATATGTCAATGTTTCCTGGATGGAATGATCCTTGGGTTCGAGCACAACCGAGTGTGATACTTCACCGCCAAGAATCGTGTATTTGCCATATCTCACCGCAGATCACGCCTGTTGAGGAGCAAAAGCACCCTACAGCCTCTGGTTAGTCATTAATATGTGATACTATATAACACTTTTTATTTAATAATGATAATCGAACACTGGAAAAAGTCTTGCTTGGAAAACAAGAACAAGAAAACACTAAATCAGATCACCAGATATTTTTTGAAGTTGAAATAAAAGTTTAATATTAAAGATATTTAATGAAAATAAAACAATTATCTTGTTTTAAAAAGATCCGTTTGAAATATTTTACATCTAAACCTAAATGGTCTTTTTTTAACTAAGCGTTTCCCTCTTCATTTCAGCAGAATATTTCTCCTTCGTTGAAATTTTAGATCATACCATATCCGACGTCAATGCCAACAAGCATCGCCCTGACGTTGACTTTGGTAACGCGTCGGATGCGACGCTTGAAGATGTTCTGTCTATTGATAGTTCTTTGGTAGACCACAAGAGCGACCCCTACATCATCGGCACAATGACACCGAGTCCTTTGTCCCCCGTAGTTATCTTGTCGTCGTCACCATTACAAACTCTCCTTGATATTGACTTTCTTTTACTTAGCCCAGTAGAGACACAACTACAGCTAACTACTTCACGTCAAAAGAGGAAACACGGAGGTGACACTGCCTTGGACGTTTCATCTGTAGCAAAGCGGCACTGTTACTATGGTAAAGACCTCTTCAGCGAATTGGATGTGACCTTCAACATGACCGAGGCCAATGTCACGGTCAACGACCAAGGTACTTCTGACCCAGTCGACGAAATAGAATATGACTTTATCGCACCTGTTCGTGACTGAAGTGATTAATTAGTGCTCATACGAACTTGTACCAAGGATGACGTGTAAAAGTTCCTCACCGCAGACTTAAAGTACGTTAAATGCCTGCAAGGCATGTGTTCTAGGTTTGGAATACTGTTCAACTTTCTTGAGTATTAACTTTAATAATTTGCATGCAGAATAAGCTTGTTGTTGTTTTTGTTTTTGTTTTGTTTTTTATTTTCTGATAAATTATTTAGATCTTAACTGGGAAACGCTTTTTCTCTTCTAGTTCTTCTTGCCACTAATATCACTTACCACAACATTATTGACATGAAACATATAACATGTATGCCAGAGACGTATATATGTGATATGTGAAAACGATTTTATTGGAAATAAGATTTTAACACAGGGCAATCATTCTTTAATTAAGGGTTATTTTGCAAACAGCATATCTCCTTAGTAGGACCATCGTATACATCAAGTTCCATGATCCTAGTTTCATGCAAGCATAGCTATGCTCATGACACAAAAGTTTAACAAAGGGCAATAACTTTGTAACTGAGGGATCATAAGCCTTGGTGTCGTTACACTTGTTTTTGTATGAATGATGTATACATCACGTTTCAATACCCTTTTATTTAAATGCAGTCAAATTAATACCTCGGGCACAGAATTTTAACGAAGGGCAATAACTCTGTAATTAAGATGTTGCTGGCCCTAAAATCGGTACACTGAAAAACGACTTCGTATGATCAACGCAAAGTTTCATTATCCTAGCAATCAATTTGATGCCATGCTCTAGCCAAAAAAAAATAACTAAGGGCAATCACTCTATCATTAAAGGGTTGTGCGCCCTAAATTTGGTACACTGCACATCGTCTTGACATGATCAATGTAAACGCCAAGTTTCATTACCCTAACTTAAATGCAAGCAAAGTTATGCTCCGGACACGAAATTTGAACAAAGGGCGATAAATCTGTAACTCAGGGTGTCGATGGCCCTGAATTTGGTACACTACACGTTGCTCTAGTATGACCAGTGTATACACCAAGTTTCATGATCCTTGCTTAATTGTTGACAAAGTAATGCTCCGGACACGAAAGAACGGACAGAAAAACTGACGGACGGACGAACATGGCGGCGACTATATTCTCCCCCCGTCAACTTCCGTGGAGCATTAAAATTTAAACGTAAGAAATGAAAGGGAAGAAAAAAACGTTATTAACGTTTAATGTGCAACGACACTTCTTAACTGCTAATTAGTGCCGGTTTGAAAAGTTTGACAAACATATTCTCCTTGCATTTTCTCTTAATGATTCGTGAATATGATTTCTGATGGAAAGGACACACCCTAGATAACCCTTTGTCACAACTTTCAAGATATGCACCGGGAGGAATCATGTCTGTGGTGTAGTGGAAGTAATGCAATATCGGGAAGAAGAATTATAGTATACAAACTAACAAATGATATTACATGATGAATAAGTTTGCCATGTATTTGAAAAAAATGTACTTCTCAATGTCTCGACGTAAACTGCGCCGTCATTTCACTATCGAATCCTGACGTAACATTAAGCTATATTACAAGAGGTGATATTAAACGGACCTATTCAATTATCTATAAATGAAAATGTATAGATTTTCGTATCTCATCACCTAAAACAATTGTGTGTGTGTGTGTCATGTCATTTAGACATGTACACTGAGGTAAACAAATTACAGTATATCAATGTTTCCATCATTCATGTTAAGCTATCCCCGAAGATTTAAAACATCTGCGCAGGCCTAATGTTGATATACTGTATGGTAGTCAGTTCTGTTTCATTTGTTTCCGTGTGAAATATACGTAATCTAGTTCCATGTTTTTTTTCTATATAGTACGGACACATTGTAACCCGTTTGTAGAGAATTGAAATCAATACGGGAATATATATTTGTTTATGGCCTATATACCTGGGACGTAAGAGAGAGAGAGAGAGAGAGAGAGAGAGAGAGAGAGAGAGAGAGAGAGAGAGAGAGAGAGAGGGAGAGGGAGGGAGGGAGGGAGGGAGGGAGGGAGAGAGAGAGAGAGAGAGAGAGAGAGAGAGAGAGAGAGAGAGAGAGAGAGAGAGAGAGAGAGAGAGAGAGACCATTCCCTCTGTCATATACGTCTCTGTATATACATAGCAAAATATATATTAAAACTAATTTAAAAATCTACATATGCCCTTCAAGTGTTTAGTCGATCAAGGACATTATTCACTACCTTCTTTACTTGGGTATCAAGAAAGAGACGTAAACAAATGCCAAACAGGCGTAAAGAGAAGAAGGTTTGGACCAAGGACATATGACAGAACGATGCATTACAAGTCCCGTGAGGACAAACAGGAGAAAATGTCACAATGAGATTTGATGATTCAAATATAACACCCTCATTAAGCTTGATTCGATTAAGCTTGGCATGCAGTGTTGTGTTATGTTATCTAGCACAAAGTGTACTGGGAATTGCTGGGGATATATTGTTCACCAATTATCAGATATACAAATTTGTTTGTTCCATTATGTATTTTACGCATCAGATTTTTAATATTACCTTCACTATCGAGTACTTTTGACGTAGAACGGTAAGAAATTGATATATCAGAATTGATCTGATGACCTTGGCATTTACGGGTGTAAACAATACGAGCAATCCTAAGAGGTTATCGGGCCATTAGAAAACTGATCGGATATTCTGGTGTCGACTTTTGTCCCATTCGGTACAAGCCAACAGAGAGACATGTGTACCGTCGTGCGGAGTAGATACACGTGTGAAATATTCGTCCCGATAAAACGTATAATTGTTGTTCATTTTCAGGACACAAAGTCGGCCAGATTGCTTATGGGTTAATAAGTGTATCGGTTTGAGGAGGGTTTCTCCTATATTTGATCCGGGTATGTAACGTTATTAGCTAAAATTCACAGCTACACTGTCCTTACATGGATAATAAAGACTGCATCGGGAACGGAAGACTAGAGCTAGAGAGTCACAGGGTCTACTTTCGGAAATGCTTACTTCCGCCCGCATGACAAATAGACGGTATGAGTAGGAATCTTTTAAAGCCGAGCCCCTTCGTTGGTGGGCAATAAAATCTACGAGCTACATCATTCGACGAAAGTTAATACACAATAACGAGATATTTGATATTTGGATTGTGCAGAGCAAAAATAGTGTTATATAACACTTTTTGTACCAACTATATATCATGGAGAGGCGTCGAGAAAGTTTACCTTCTTACTAACTATCAATGGCCTCAACCAACGTAAACGTGTCGGACACTTCCGTTCCCAGGAGTGGATATGATTTAGATGTGTTTGACCATGGTAATTTTTACGGTATCCATCTTTCAGCGTTGCTTTGTATACTGGTCAGTTTTCTGTGTGCAATTACAGTCATCACCGCGTCCTTTACAAAACGCAAGACCAATTTTTTCGCCTGGTCAAAAAGTGACCGATTCGTTGTGTACATTGCTTTATGTGATGGCCTCTTCAATGTAGCCCACAGTTTAGACCATACACACGTTCTAGTAACCCGTTCTCATGTCAAGCCTAAAGGACTGTGTGCTTTCTACGGATTTATTTTGTCCGAGTTTCTGACCGCTCAAACGTTCATGGTAAACCTCGTCGCCATCAATGCGTTTTGTTTAATGTTTTTTAACCAGGATATTCCATTTGGAAAATGGGACCATCGCCTGTTGATTTGGACATTTGGAGCACCTTTGATAGCTTCTACTGTTGCTGTGTCTTTAAACCAGTTTGGACCAAACACAGTCTTGTAAGTAAAAATGGGAAAGTTACCAGTAACGTTGACATCTTCAAAATCAAACTTAAACAGTGGTTAATAGCAATGGACATTAGAATTCAAAATAATGATTTCATTTGCAGGTACTCGTCAGGTGTTTGCCATCATGATATTGGCTAAGAAAATTAAGAAAATAAAATTTACATGAGGCAGTAACTTGTGTAAAACATTTTCAAGGTACCTGAACTATTACTTTCGTAATATCTTAATTACTGTCTGTCACTAATCTATTACCAGAATTGGATATTGATTTTAACTGTCTGACTTCAATATGAAATGATGTTATAGTAGGTTCTCTGCCAGGAGAAATAATTTGTTTGTTGTTTGGTTTTGAAAAGAGTTATCTATTTTGTCCTTATAGTTGCTTTATGGACGCCGTCACCGGAAAACTAATGAACACAGTGTACTTGACCATTCCATTGCTGATAGTTTTCTCAACCAACATGGTGCTGTATGGACTGACTTATTGGCGCTTATCAGTGGGCTTTCAACGGTTCAAAGGCTCCAAGATGTCGTCAAGGACTCGGCGCGTGGCGAGAAACATGATTCTCTTTCTCTTGGCCTTTTTTGTCCAGTACTGGGCTGCGGCTCTATATGGTGCGTGGCAGTTGGTAAGCGATGATATTCCCGTCATCGTCTACTACTTCTTGACAACGTTCACGAATATCGGCGGATTTCTGAATGGATTGGTGTATATCGTCATTCGTCGAAGATTCCTTCAACGAGACAAAAGCGGCGACAAGACATCTGTGGACAAGATGAAGAGATCTGGAGACCAAAGTCCGACTGCAATGAGACATTTGAAGATTAATGATGTTCAAAACGACGACATTCTGCAGTCTGATTTTACGTCGGCGTTTCAGAAAAATATATAGACATGCGACATACCGTCGTTGTATTTGCAGATTACTAAATCTACAGTTGCGAGTAATTGTGAAAATACGACTGAACTTTGGAGATTTTTTTTCTTATCTCGTGTCGTCCTGATCTTTTACAGTATAGATACCACTGCTCTGATATTTCAGTCAAGAAGAGTTCTGTTTCACACATTTTAAGATTATTATCATTTGTATTCAAAAGATTAACGAAATCTTAAAGACTTGTACCTGCCCTTAATTTCCTTTACCGTGCATTCTATATCGTATTGTGAGACTCTGACATTCCAGATAACGAGAGTGGCATTGTTATTCGAATATCGATGTCTTATGGTAAATTATAAAATGGCATGATGTAGTGGTAAAATGCTAGTTGTAATGCTAATACAAAGTTGTAGTTACGGAAACACAAATAAATTGTTTTTGGCAAAAAGTAATTTCTTGTGTTTAAGTGTATCCAGTGAGGAGAAAGACAGACACTCATCAGAAAAAGAATAAGTTTTGTTTTTAAATAATGGTGATATACAGAAGCCTCGTGCTCGACTAAATATTAAAAACTGTAGACTAGACTGAATAAATTGAAGTCATTGGTTCGAAACACGTCTGTTAAAGTCAATTTTGGCCCTCATCTTTGACCCATTGTTGACTCGGCGTCCAATAACGCTATCAGTAGGATATGATTGAATTGTTTACTCAGTATCCGAGAACGCTAAACGGTATACTATTTTCGAATTGTTTACATGGCGTCCGAGAACGCTAATGGTAGATTCAATGATCGAATTGCTAACGACTTTAGACTATTTACTCGGCGGTAGAGAATCAAAGCATAGGATTCACAGAGATTTCACCTAAACCAGATTCAAATTTGTTAAGTGTACAGTTTCAAACTTTGAAATGTCAAAAATTGTAAGGTTAGATATAAATTTAAACAAGGATGGGAACAGTCCTCTTCCCCTTTTGTAAGTGTTGCTTTTTACCACGAATATTTCATTTATCAATTTTGCTGTTGTTATTTCAAGTACATATGCAGAATAACAAGTTTATTTCGGGCCCTTGTTAATTTGTCAGATTTGTGTTCAATAATGATGTATATGATAAAATACTTGAATTACTACCAGTTGTGTATCTTGACCTTAGTCCACATAATCGAATGACAATCCGGATATAGACACTTCCGGTTGTCTGTTCTCAACAAAATCGACATCAAAATAAACGTGAGAGGAGACTGCGGGTTCTCTAACAAGGAAAATGGCTTCAGTAGTTATTGTCAAGGATATCATTAAAGTTTTATCGCTTATTGCTCAAATAGACAACAAGTTATGTTTATAATTAAAGGTGTCACCACCGTGCAGAATGCATGTTGTCTCAAATACATAATGTGCAGGTATCATATTTACAACTCATATCAGGAATTTTAAAACGAATTTTCTTTCGCGTGCCATTAACTTTTAGCGACATTTGCCGTTGTTTATTCTGAATATTTGTGTGTCAGTGCAATAGAAATATGATCACACAGACGTATGGGATACAGTAATGCCTTAGTAGAGAAATTATCTATGTAGTTTTATTTCATTGACGTCTTTTGACTGACCGGTTACAAACATAATTTATATCTTTAGGATCTCTTAATGGAAAAACAAAACACACATGTGAAAACTTGTTAGAAGTAACTAATTACTAATTTCTAATCTTCACAACATCATGATAATTAGTTTTTTATGACCCTTTTCAATTCATTTGTAACATTAGTACAGATGGAGATTACGAACTAAAATTATTTTCAAATATAAAACGAGGCTCTACTTCTGCTATTGTCAAACATAAATAAACGAAATAAATAAATAAATATATATAAATAAATAAATAAATAAATACTATTTTTATATCATAAAATGTGTGGGCAGTTTTGTTGATGAACAAAGTATTACATGAGCTCGCACTTGATGACCTATCTTTTCAAGTACTGTAGTATACCTATGATGAAATACTAATCCACAAACACCACTTAGAGAAACCAGAGACATATATAACTCAAATATACGTCACTGGAGAAACCAACATCACATATACAATGTACCGGTGTAGTATGATAAAGTGAACCCCGTTACAAAGTGACCCCCTACCCATGGTAAAGTGATGCCGCTTTACACTGTTTTCAATTGATGATTAATGTTTCTTCACTGAATTTATTATCGGTTTACTTAATTATGATCTCCACACAAAAACGAACCAAAAAAGTAACAAGGGTAACAATGAAAACTGTGATGTACATAATTCCGTTTCATTTTCTCGTTGGAATTGAGACAAAATGTCGGATATATCGATGATGATGATGATGATGATGATGATGATGATGATGATGATGATGATGATGATGATGATGACGACGACGACGACGATGACGACGACGACGACGACGATGATGATGATTATGATGATGATGTAATAATCAATGATTTCATTAAAGTGTCACTTATTATTTTTAAAAAAGGAAAGAATGAAAAAAATGCAATTGACAAACAAGAAATCAATAACAGCCCATATGATGAACTATTAAATATCTAGCACATTCATAAAACTATATATAACCTGCATTACCTTTATATTAATAGACAGTGCGTTCATGTTTTAAATTATATGATAAGCGAAGTACAATAAATGCCGGAATTATGAGCAGAAAATGTAGAAATAAAGGTTTTAAAAAATGTTTCAAATATAATGCTCTCATTACATGTTCCTCTGGTACAGGTTTTAAATTAACGATGGGAAACTCATTCGGAAGTCTTGATGGCAGCGAATATCGTTCGGGTCTCGTCGATCGCAAACGTGGAATCAGTGACGTTTACCTCCCATTCTCATGTGCCCCTAATCTAGCGTTTTCGCTAATTCGTGTGTAGTACGTACGTATTTGCACACGTGTAAATGTCACGATCGGGAAGTGAATTTGCTAGAATATTGTTTTCGGGGTGTATATATATATCACAATTTATACACACAATTACTTTCTGCGCCCTATAATCTAACCATGTCTTGTAATTTTAAGACAACAAGCAATTTGAGTCAATTATGTACTTACCTACTTGAAAAAATTAATGCGCGCTTTCTTAAATAACACAACACCTGAAGCCAAACTGAGGAAGTCAAATATTTGGATCGGTACTTCCGAATGGAAATTAAATTGTCTGGCCTAAACATTTCAATGAAAATTAAATTTAAACAAATAAAGACTGTTACTGTTGTCTTCATTATATACCATAAAATAATATGCAAATTAATCACTATGGTAACCACGTCAGAACGCTGTCTTTCGAGTAGTTCGGAAATGCGTTCCCATCGATGCATGTGACCGTTGGTTACACAGAACTTTTGACTCGGATGGGTGTTATGTTATAACACGGAGTGAGTATTTTGATAAAATCTGTATTCATGTATTATAATATGATTTTTTTAATAAGGTTACAAGTAATAGTAACAGTATTATAATTTGATAATTACTGAATTTTGTACGCCTTATCAAAGGTGTGCGCCAGTACAGAAGACCAGCCGATCTTGGAAACATTTTTGAGATTGATTTCCTTTCTCGGTCTGGAGTAAGTGTGCTGATCGAGAACTTTGTTAGCTTATTTTACGAAGAGCGTTTAACTCAAATATGCTATCATATCATTAATAATGAAATATTTTATTCACATCTGCAAGAGAACTTTTTTCCTCCGGAGTTCCTACTGGAAGACATCTCCGTTCAAGGACGTCATTTGCGTTTTGCTACAAACCATCAGCTTGACATCCTGTACTGTGCGGAGGCGTGGTACTATGACGTTAACTGTTCAGCGTATACGCCTTAGTCAGGCGTTGACGGTGTAACTGTTCAGCGTATACGCCGCGTTAGTCAAGCGTTGACGGTGTAACTGTTCAGAGTATACGCGTCAGTCAGGCGTTGACGGCGTAACTGTTTAGCGTTTACCCCGCGTTAGTCAAGCGCTGACGGTATAACTGTTCAGCGTATACGCCGCGTTAGTCAGGCGCTGACGGTATCACTGTTCAGAGTATACGCCGCGTTAGTCAGGCGCTGACGGTATAACTGTTCAGAGTATACGCGTTAGTCAGGCGCTGACGGTATAACTGTTCAGAGTATACGCCGCGTTAGTCAGGCGCTGACGGTATAACTGTTCAGAGTATACGCGTTAGTCAGGCGCTGACGGTATAACTGTTCAGAGTATACGCCGCGTTAGTCAGGCGTTGACGGTGTAACTGTTCAGCGTATACGCCGCGTTAGTCAGGCGTTGACGGTGTAACTGTTCAGAGTATACGCCGCGTTAGTCAGGCGTTGACGGTGTAACTGTTCAGCGTATACGCCGCGTTAGTCAGGCGTTGACGGTGTAACTGTTCAGAGTATACGCGTCAGTCAGGCGTTGACGGTGTAACTGTTCAGCGTATACGGGTCAGTCAGTCGCTGACGGTGTAACCGTTCAGCGTGTACGCGGAAGTCAGGTCTGGTGAACAGGTTCCTTTAGCCTTTTGCCTCATGTCCAGGCGTAGGCACCACATCAAAAATGTAAAGACGGATCTAAATAAGAAAATGATATTTGACCAGGAAGTCTAGCTTTCATATACTAGTCTAATTATTTCGTCTATCAAAACAATACAACTTACATTTTGAAAAGAAATGTTAAACATGTTTGTAGATACACAATATTTAATGTTTTACTGATTGGTATTAAAACTTTCCCATTGTTAATTAATATATGCACATGTATTGGAAATATGTCAAACATATTTAATTATAAAAATTCTATTCTGATAGGTTCTACAACCACTGATGAGGCACCTTTCTGATTAGCCCAGAATAGAGTGTATCGCCAAGGTGGCATTCTGGAAGGTCGTCACTGATGTGTAGGAGGACAATAATGTGGTTTTCACCACAGGGATCTTGCACGAATTCTCGACCCATAGTTCACACACATATATATATACATGTATATATATATTATAGTGACTTTGATACATATATTTGGACCGTGGGTCGAGAATTCGTGCCAAATCCCTGTGGTTTTCATTGAGGCCAGACGTTGACCCGTAAGATTGCATAGCATGGATTGCAGGTATTTAATCTGATGAAAATAGTTAATTTATTTCATTCCCCGTTGCCAAATAGTCTGAACAATCACTGTCTTTTTATATGATTATGTAATGTAATATAAATAATTGTTTATATCCAGACAACCAACTGGAACGTGAAATATGGGATAGCAATAACCTACTCAGATGTATATCGGACAGCCTGCAGAAGTGACAAGGCCGCGCATACGCCTGAAAGGCAGGTCCTAGCCCTTTCCCTTTCTTCCGCAGGAGCACATCAGGTATGAAAGAGCAACGCCTGCGTCCGCGCGTGCACAATCT